AGCACAGCAGTACAACCAGTCTCCTCGCCCGAAGGACATCGTCATCTCCAAAACTTTCATCATACCAACAACACCCTCGGCCAGTTGCTTCCTTTTGCCCGTCAAATCAAGACCCCGAATGACTGAAGACTCTCTGCCAGGCACGATCAAGGGATACCCATCGAAGAAGCCCTTATGAGCAAAGCAAGGGGGAAATATGAAAGCCCGAGCGTCAGAATCGCTCCCCGTCAGATCTAGAGTATCATTTTTTAATTGACCCCTTTTTCTGCCTGAAAGCCCCTACACGAGTTGAGACTGGTCGACATTTGGAGACAAAGAGGAGGTGTTGGAGCCATTCTTGGCCTGGTCTAGAGTGGGAGCAAAGCAAGTAGGTTTCACTGTCTTTTTGCTCCTCTTCTGGTCATGCGCCAGCTTGAGCAAATGCTCACGAGAGTCCTCCATGTTATTTGCATAAAACAACAAGCATGGGTCAGTACATTAAGAAAATGCAGGCGAACACGCTAAAAGAGAAAGAAATACAGACAAAAATACGGGAAAATACCTAAGAGCACTACAATGTCCTCGTAAGAATGGAACTCGAGGAGTATCTTAGTGTTAATTGGTCAAGCCTTAAAAACAGGCTCGTCGTTATCATCAAGGTAATTATTCCCCTCCCTTGTCACCCACTGGGCATGGTAGAAGTTGTCAACGAACTTATTAAGTTTTGCGTATGACTCTTCGTCCTCTTCATCCATAGGGCCATCCAGGGTGAGGTAATAACTCAGACCATGATCATAATGGTTGCCACACTAGTGGAAGGGGAACTTCAAGACCAACTCCGTCTCCATGTCCCTATTCTCCTCGTGGAGAGATATGCCATCCTCGTCGACCATGATCTCCTCCTCCAACATTGAGTTAAAGGTCTCCTCTAACACTGGCTTAACGAGGAAATATTTGTCCTTGAAGTCTCAGACGAAGTCTACGAACATCTTGAATAGCCTTTTCTTTGGCTGCTTCAGAGAAATCCATGTGTTTCCCGTCCATAGTTTGACGCTGAAGTTGGAAATAGCAGAAAAATAGAGGAATTATGGCACCGAGTTGAAGGTACTAGCACACAATCTCAAACGCCAGTATAAAGGCAATCTCGTTCAAATGCAACTGAGAGGACGCCAACAGCAGATGCCCAAAAACCCTGATCTGGAAATCAGTGAAGGGAAGCTGAAACCTCAACTCTTTAAAGACAAACTCATACATGGGAATGTGATTCCTTTAGTAAAACGAGCATATCCTTCTGCTCTCACTCGGATTGACAACTTTCTAGTGTTTCTCGATGTCGAGATCGTCCTTCCTATCCTCGACATGCATGAACGCGCTAGCTAGAAACTCAGTATACCGCGAAGTTATGCCTCAAGGTTCGGGGAAACCTAGTGCAATAGGGGATCAGTGATTGTGTCAACCAGCTCGATACTCGTTGTGTTGTCGTCCATTTCACCTGAAAAACAGATGAAAATTGTGAATTCGATGGTCAAATCAAATCCAACCTTCCACCACAAATCAAGTGAAAGGGCGTATCACGAGACGAGAACGAGGTCCGCGACTCAAAACCCTAACTCAACGGATAACGGGAAATCAAGATGAGCCCCTTAATAAAGGGCACACCCAAATCAACTAGATAGACGAGGACACAGACTCCACACAGAGACAAGCCCTCCCCGTCAAGTAAGGGTTTTCATAGACCTCGGTGATTAATGAATCCCACGGGGAAACTCATGAATCTCGCGGGGAAACGCATGAACTTCTCAGGGAAAAACATGAATATATGAATTACACGGGGAAGAACCTTCCCAGAACATGAAAATCATCAAGAATTTATGAATTCTGCTGGGAACAACCTTCCCAGAACATGAAGATCATCAATAATCTATGAATTTTATGGGGAAGAACCTCCCCGGAACAAGAAATTCATCTAAATCATGTGTATTACAAAGAATAAAAACATGGTTAATATTAGGGAGAAAGATAACACTTACTTGATTAAGGTTTGAACGGAGGTTGCGATAGCGAACACGACGGCTGCTAGGACTGAGAGCGGATCAGAAGAAGAGAGGCAAAAGGGAAGAGCAAAGCGAGGGGGAAGAGTAAATGTGAAATGTTACAAATGAAACCCTTTATAAACCTTGTGTGGGAGACGAAACGTCACTTCGAGTGGCGTGTCATCGCCTCAACACGCAACCGCCCACGCGCCTAGGCCATGATGACCCCTCGCTTAGGCCATCATTACGCATTAGGGTGCTGCGACACGTGGCCCAACAAGAAAACTCTGACCAAAATTTTCAACTCCTCGATAGTCGGGCACACCCCTACAGTACAATTATGAGAATCGTGGGAACACTCTTCGCGTGCACGCCTTAACTCTAGCCACGGTACTTATGTGACATCCTTCTTATCCATGCAAAATTCCTCGAACGGTACTAATATGCAAGGAAGGTTGTTGATCTGGATAACCACATCCCTCTATCTTGCATATGCTAGACTGAGAGCCGATGCGCACGTTCTTATCGACCATGCTCGAGAGAATGACAGTCATCGATGCTCGAGCAAACCTAAAAGTCATAGCTCCTCTACTTAGGAGCGACGACTTGAGGGCTCATGTTCTGGACTAGGCCTGCACTTAGTATGCCATCAAGCAAGGCCTAACCCAACTCTATAGCGAGGAAGGTCCAATAACCTGTTGAGGATTGAACCTGCACTTGGTCCTCTGTCGGGCAGGGCTAGCCCAACATTGCTGCGAGCAAGGCCCAATAAGGCCCAATTAATTATGACCATTGAGGAACGCCTTCAACATGTGTCGTCGAGGACACCTCCTCCACGTGCCCGTCAATGACATCTCTTCCACGTGCCCACCAAGGATATATGGAACGTTCTTCCAAATATCACTAAGTCATCCTGCTTCTGAAAAGAATAGGTCTTCCACCGAGAATCACGAGGCAGTTGAACCAGGATAGAGACCATAAACTAATTTCTTTTATCCACGTAGGATCTTGGAAGTCTCCATTATAGGTCTGAACATCTGATCCAAAATGGGGACCTTGACCCAATGCTGGGGGCTATAAATACTCTCTTTCGCTAGAGAATCAGGTACACTAGTCTATTCATTCTAACTCCATATTTATATTTTCGCTCTAAACTTTATTTTGACATCAGAGTGTCTTGCAGGTACCCCCCCCCCCCCCCCCCCCCTCCCCCCCCTCCCCCCCATTTTTTCTTCATCACAGTAGAAGTCTAAGCGTTGCAGGCCACAAAGATCCTTTTGATCCCGACAAAAATATATATATATATATATATATATATATATATATATATATATATATATATATATATATATATATATATATATATATATATATATATATATATATATATATATATATATATATATATATATATATATATATATATATATATATATATATATATATATATATATATATATATATATATATATATATATATATATATATATATATATATATATATATATATATATATATATATATATATATATATATATATATATATATATATATATATATATATATATATATATATATATATATATATATATATATATATATATATATATATATATATATATATATATATATATATATATATATATATAAGTTTTTAACTCTTTTAATTTTGAAAATAAGTTATTTTGTGTTTGAATGATATTTTCTAAGATTTTTAATGATATATTATCTGAAAAGATAAAAATATTTAACCTACAATTGATTTTAAATTGAGGAGAGGACCATAAATTATGCAGCAAAAAAGTTAAATGACATAAATAAAGAGATCAGATAAAAGAAATCACACATAAAATTATCCTGACTCTATCTTAAACGACACATCTACTCAAATTCTCAAAAGAATTCTCTTAAGATTTCCATTATCAACAACTTGAAATTTTACAGGAATTCGACTCACCAACTTACACTAAACTTTTTACATATTTAGTTTTCAACCTTTAAATATATTACAATAGCACAAGAGAACAAAACTCTCGATTACACAAATTTAACACAATGACAGATAAACACAACTCTTGGATAAAGTTTTTTACTCTCAGGATAAAAGTAATTTCTAATGAATAAAGCCGATAAGAGAATGAGAATTAGTGATATAAAAATTACTCATAAACTCGTGATTTGAAAATGAGGAAATCACTCATTTATAGAGAAAAAGATTTAACTAAAAACTCATAAGCATGAATGTTGTGTAATCAATTAAAAATGACAGCTTAATCGGTTAGACTATGTCATAAAAAGAAACCCCAATTTGTTACGTAGCTTAAACAATTAACAAGCTTTTTAATAGATTAGGAGACTTACTCACGCCTTAATACATTAGATGAAGAGTTTATTAGACAATGAGTTTAACTTTCCTAATTAATTAAAATTGTTTTTTAATAGTTTAAGTATTTGACATGATTGATTTTCACAAGTTTTGAGAAAAAGAAGATATTAAAATAATTTTAGTTCGTGTGTTATTTGTCTTAGTAATGATAGACTTACTCTTTCTTCCTTTACATTATAATATACAACAACTCTAGTTCCTTTCATTTACTTGATTTGACTCATTTTAACTCTTCATAAAAGAACTTTGATAATTTGTAGAGATGTCTTTGCCATTGCTTATGTGCCATCTGATTAGATGCCTATTGTTATCTAATTGATGCTTGATAACAAACCAGATGGAAGATAAAATACGGTGATGAATAGGAACTCTGTTCATAAAGTATCTTATCATTAGAGTAGTCTTTGTTAATTGATTTAATATCTTCCTCAGACCACCAGCAGAGCAAGGTAAACAAATGGTTTTTCAAGAGATAGTGACAGGTTTTCTATGATCAATGATGCATGTCTAGACAAATTGTGTGTGGGTATCAATCTTTTTCTAAGATTCCTTTCAATTTTCAAATTGTATTAATTAATTTTTATTAACATATCACTATTTTTTTAATCACTATTTATGTTACATATTTTTTCACTATCTATAATAAACACTCTTGTACAAACATTAATTAATTCTCTGGTAAGCATCACAGTTAAGCATAGGTTAATACATGAAGCAGGAAAAACATCCATCCCATTCTTAGCTTCATAAGGACAGGTGAGATTCATCTTTAATTGAAACTTCAGCTGTTTTAAATTGTATATAATATAACAACAGTTAATGTTGTCACCAAGGATACTAATAACTGTAACAAGTAAAAAAAACATTGATGACAGATGGACATTTAAATTAGACACATACGGCATGAGCAAGAACCATCCATGGTAATAAACAAGAACAATTTCTGAAACCAAAAATAAGTAGCAGCAGAAATAATTGCAAAAGACACTTTGTCTTTCACAATAAAATGATTCAATGATCTACCCATGTAAAAATGAAAACAAAAATAGAATTCTACAACAGACAGTCAACAATGTCTCACATTCCAAAACCAAACACAGACCGAATCCTCTGGAAAATCAGATCCCTCCATCCCTTTTCTGTATTCTCCACCACAGTCGCGTTCCCATATCTGCATTTGAAATAATCACTTCAATAACACAAGTCTCCAAAACGAAACATTTCATCATAACCAATATAATCAATCAAACACTAACCTGTCTTCTTCAGGCACATCCGTGTGTGTTAACTTCACAACTGTAATTCCAGATTCTGGCTCCTCAAACACAATTCTCACCTGCAAAATTCACAACCAAGCAAGATGTTAAATAAAGGTTTACAATCACAACTTCAGTCCCAACATAAGAGTTTTTTATATTTCTGCACCGCAACTTTGATTAGGACCTGAGTTATAAATTAGTGGGTTGTGGTTGCATATGGATCCCTACGAACAAATGCAGCTGTTGCAGCTTTAATTGCAGTCATCAAGGTTTTATAATAACTATATAAACCCTTATTGAGATTTCATTTGCCACATTTAACCACAAATCACCACAATTTTATGATTCTATTTGAATAAACAATTTATTAGGCAGATATTGCATAAACAATTATCATATAAGCAAGGTTTTAAAAAACAGTCTATTAGCCGTGAAAAACGGCCTCAACAGAAACGTATTGGAAGGCTCTGATGCCGTTATGATTATACACTGTTTTTATGATAATTCACCCCACAATAATCGCAACACCAATACCAACCAAAATCGTAAAAGTTTTACACGACCGCAACTCAACTGCTGACAGTTATTTAAAACCTTGCATATAAGCTGTCTATGGCGGATTGCGGAAAATTGTGGCGAGCCAAAAATCCACCATAAAAATATGGCGGATGGCGGAACAGAAAATTGCAGAAGCATGGCGGACAAACAAAAAACATTATTTATACTCGCAAAAAAACAGTAATAGCATCAAAAAATCATAAATCAGAAGTCATAAAAATTAGATAACAAAATTGTATATGGAGGAAACTAGAATTCATATTAAGGTAAATAAAATAGATGTGGCATGTCTTTAAGTACCTCAAAATATTTCATTCATAAAAGACATCATAAAACAGAACTATAAAACATTATTGAATCTCTAAGCATCTTCTCTAACTTCACTTCTTTCCCATTAGATGGTCTTTGGCTCTTGTTATTCCACCATTAATCAATTTTGTGCAAAAAAATATAACGAGTAGAGTTTGTATCTCCGTTAACTATATCTATATATTTTCATCTAAGGTCACTTCTCTTTGAACCGCCAACCCTAGAGGTTAGGGAGGTTTCTTGATTTTCAGGCATTGTCTAAAACTACACAGTAGAAAATAAAATAAAAATAGAGCACTTAAAAGAGATAAATACAACACTAAAAAACAGAGCAGGAGAAAAATAAGAGGAAGAACCAACAAAGTAGAACAGAAAAGAGAGAAGTGTGGGAAGGAATAAAAATGAAAAGAAATAAAAAATAAGAGGAAAAAGAAAACTGAAGAAGAAGAGTACCTGATAGTTGTGTAAGAAGATAAGAGAAACAGATGGAGAAGAAAAATCTGTGGAGAAGCGGGAGAAGAGAAGAGAGACTGAGGGAGAAGAGTCTGCAGAGAATGGAAAGGTTGTAGGGTTTTGGTTTTATAAATATTTAATTAGAGTATTTAATGGAAGCTATTAGTATTTAACCACAGTTATAGTTCTTTTGGGCCTGTTTACTGGTCGGGTAAAAAAAATACCAGACAAGAATTTTAAAATTTTTGAAAAAAAAACGCAATTTCCGCCATACCGCCATGCACGTTAAACTCATGGCGGACGCCATGGCGCCGCAATGCAAAATCCGCAACGCCATGGCTTTTCCATGGCGCTATGTTGAAAATCCACAACCGCAATCCGCCATGGCGCCGCCATGGCCGCAATTTGACAACACTGCATATAAGTGTTCGTTCGGTATACATTTTTCTGTGACAAAATACAAAAATGAAACAAAGTCTAACTATTTTCATAAAACCCATCTTAAAGAAATAAGATAAAAAAACAGCTTATTGGCATGTCATCAACAATTTTCATAACATCTCTCACACAATTTCACAAATGCTTATGTCTAGCCAATCTAGTATGTAAACTCAATAAATCAATTCAAACAAATCCTATATACCGCAATACAATCCTAATTTTAAACCATATTGCATAAGTCTAGTCAGTCTAGTATATCAATAAACTCGAATAAATCGATTCAAATAGATCATATATACCACGATGCAACCCTAATGTTAAACCATAATGCTTATGTCTAGTATATATAAATAAACTCGAATAAATCAATTCAAATAGATCCTATATACCGCAACACAACCCTAATTTCAAACCATAATTCCAGACAGAAAAAACCATAATTCCCAACAGAAACACTTACCAATGAATGCTTCCCATCAGGCCAGCTCCCGAATCTCCATTTCTGAACAATCAACTTCCCTTCCTCCAATTCCACATTCTCCCCCGTCACAGACCCATCAAAGATACTAAACTCACCACCAACCTCCTTACTAATCCTCGCATTACTCTGCGTAAATCCTTTCCATCTATTCTCATCCATCAATATCTCAAACAAATCCTTCGCCCGACAATTAAACTTCTCATTCAAACTAATCGTTTTACACCCCTTCTTCACCTTCTCCTTCTCATTCTTCGTCGCAACCGCAACAACCTCTGCCGGCTCTTTCTTCTTTGCTGCCGCAACAACCGAACTAGAATTACTCCTCTGCGGCGAAGCAACCTTCTTAGTCTCAAGCTCATCTTTAACAGGTCCGCCTTTGGACATACTCTCCACCCAAACCCTAACCTTCTCCAAAATCAACGGTTTCCCTTTCACAACAACCGCATCCTTCAAACTCTTCCCAATAATCCCTTCATCTTTCACACTAACCCTAACCTCCGGATCCTCATCGGCGTTCTCATCGGAAATATACGGAATCTCAAAACTGCCAACAAGCTTATGCAAGATCTTCCCTTCGGAATCCCTCGCTTCACCTTCCCACGAAATCGACACACTGATCTCATATCCCGGAATGATCTTCCCCTTCCGAACATTAACGTAGGCTTCGCCGTCGAGCTTCTCGACCTTCTTAACGGTGGCGTGGAAATTACCCTCGCCGTCGAGGATTTTGAGGTTGTTGAAGAGCTTGTTGAAGAAGGTTCTAGACCATTCTAGGCAATTGGTTTCCGACCAGTGCCAGTTGTGGACGTTTGTGCCGTCGGGTCTGTCTTCGACGATCCAGCGTTTGTCGCCTTCGCCGTATTTTGCCATTGAAATTGGGAATGTGAAAGCGAATCAAACGATGGTAGTAATAATGTAATAACGTTGGTGTTGGGGTGAGGATATATATGATTGTTGTTTGATTTGGAAGGATCTAGAGAAGGAAGAAAAGAAACCCTGGTTTCAACTCCAACAAGTCAGGCTTAGGAAAGATCTAGAAGACGGCTTAACTAGGAGTTCGTCGTTGTGGTCTAAATTTTTTTCTTTTTTGGTTTCATATTAAGGGTTTAAATAAATTTATATTTTGGTTTCATATTAAGGGTTTAATTTAAGAGATTAATTGTGCCTAATTGGTTTCATGTTTGGAGTGTGTCTATGTATGTCGGAAAATTATTTGACTAACCATTTAATCTTGTCGTGTCTATTATATGTCATCCTTGCACATGTATGTTCATAGTAACTTGTCATATTAGTTTTCAACCCTCTTATTAAACCTCATAAAATTTGCATCCATCTTGACACTTAACTACCATCCTTTTTTCATCATTCTTTTTGAAATATATATTTTTGTTAGTAACCATAGCATACTCCTTGACATACTTGACATAATCTTTTATCACATCTTTATTATTAAACATCAAACCTAATTTAAACTTGATTGTCTCACCATTTTGGAAATTTGAAAAATACTCATACTCTTGTTCATATTCACTAGCAAGAGGAGTGAGTATATAGTTGATCTAAATCCTCGTCAAGATCTTGCTTAGGGGTACTTATGTTGTCTCAATTGGTAAGACTGTAGTCCAGTCGAATTCTATAGAATCCTCACTATTGTTTCCTCCCTCTTCATCGACTTCGTTATGGTTAAAATCTTTGTCTTTCTCACCCTCATCCTCAACCTCGTTATGTTCATAATCTTTGTTTATCTCACCCTCATCATCAACCTCATTGTGCTTAGAAACTGTGTATTTTTCTCCCTCATCATCATTATCAACCTCAACTACATCATGGCCTAACTCTGCCTCATCTATTATATTAGAGATATCAAGACCATGCTCAACATGCACATCAACCAAGTCATATCCTTTAACATGTTCAGCAAAGTTCAGTACATCATCATCATTTTCTATTGATGTATGTCCCTTAGCAAAGCTAAACCTAAGACTCACATATCAAAGGAACTTCATATTTGTATATCCCACGATAATAATCGACTTCTCCAGCTCTATATAAGACATGTTGTAACGGCTCACTTAAATATTTAGTCATTTGATGATTGGATTTGTAGAACTATGTTGATTTGACTAAGAATGTGTGAGAACTTAGTATAATTCGATAATTGGAGTAGGCTTTGATTAATATTATAATAATGATAATTCTGGCGAAAGATGAAATATCCCTTTATTATTAATAAAAATATTATTGTTGGTTAAATGGTGTATTTTCCACTAGTAATATTATTATTAATATTATGACTATTATCATTATTATTATTATTGTTATTATTATTATTATTATTATTATTATTATTATTATTATTATTGGGAAATAATAATAAGGAAAAATTAGGGAGAGTGGTGGAAAGAGAATTGGGACAATTGTTTCACGTGAAAAGAAGAGAAAAGAAGCTATGGCAAAAAGGTGACAAGGAGAATCCCACAATTGTTGAAGGATCAAAGCTCCAAACTAAGGTAAGGGGGGAGAATGAGTTCTCTAAATGGTAATTATAATATGAGAGAGTAGTGAGGGTTCCTTTCCCCTATTTAGGTTTGTGAATAATTGATGTATGTGACCTTGTTCTTGCTTGATTTATGTTGTTCCTATATGATTGTTAATTGATGTGTTGTCCAGGGTGTGGTTGTTAATAATTGTTATTATTGTAGTGTTGTTTCATGGGAACCCCTAATATGAAATTATAGATTTATAGAGTTGATAAATAAGAGATTTTGATGTAGAGAATCATTGTCGAATAATTGATCGATGAATTAGATTAAGTTTATAGGTATTTCTGTGTAAATGTGAAAAAAAATGAACATAAGTCATTCAGGTGCAATAGCAGTTTTCTAGAACACGCTGGTTGGTCGTACGCGTATGAGGGGACATCCCAGGGGATGTACGCGTATGGTATGTGCCCTGTCCCCAGGACCAGCGCAACCATCTTCTGGTACGCGTATGGAAAAGTGTCATACGTGTGTACATGGAGCCATACGCGTATGTGAGTTGTCTGAGTGAGTTTAGAGGAAAAACGTCTCTGGTGGTATGCGTATGATACACATATAAAGTGTGGATGTTTTGGCCTTAAACGTCTCTGGGCGGGGGAAGAAGTCTTATGCGTATGGTACGCGTATGAACAGGCTGAGGTGCAGATTTATCCCTTTTCGCGATTTCTTTCTCGGTTTCGTATGCAATGTAATTCTTTAAGTCTCTAATGACTAGTATGAAGTAGGAAAATGTAGGGAGGCTAATAGGAATGGAGATTTGTAGCAAAACATGGGACTTTATGTGAATTGATTATGATGTGTGATGAAGAATATTGTTTTTTAGTAGAGTAATATTATGTTGTGTTATTATTGAATATAGATGATGAATTGCCAAAATGCTTAGTGATTGTGATGCCATGATGTTATGTTATTGTAAATGTTGTTGAATATACATGATAAATTGAGAACATGTTTAGTGGTTATGATGTTATGACACTATGTTGTGATACTATGATGTTATGTTGTGTAATATTGTTGTTGAATGTTCATGATGGATTGATAATATGCGTAGTGGATTGTGATACTAAGACATTATGGTGTTGAAATGTTATTGTAATATTTGATGAAGTTTGATGCGATAATGTTGTGTTGTTGGGTGTATGCAAGTATGTTGTCACTATTTTCTATTGCTATCGTTGCATGTATGGTGAGGGTTTATGCTCTGTTGGTGGCCTTTATTGGCAAGATGTTGTGGGCTTATGCCCTGTGGTTGTATATTTAGGTCGTTGCATGTTGGTGTTGCATGCATACATTGGTGAGGGCTTATGCCCTGTTATTGGCCTATAATGGTGTTATGTTGAGGGCTTATGCCCTGTTGTTGCCCTATTTGGCAATATGATGAGGGCTTATACCCTGTTGGTACCACATGCATTTAGATGTTGTTGGTTGCATTACATTGCACAATCTTGATTTGATGTTGTGTTAAATGAGTGAAGAATGTGTTACAAACATTGTGTAATGTGTGAATTGTGTGAATTACTACTCTTTATCATGTGATATTTCACCGTATATTTATTGAATGTAATTATCACCCCTTTTCTGTTGTTGTGTTTGTGCTCCTCCAGGAGTACAGATAATCAGATACCTAAGTAGTGCTTGGAGTATGAGTTGATTGATCAAGTCTTAGGAGTCGCTCTGATATGTAACACGAGATTTGGGAATTTTCTATGTCTTACGTTGTTTTATTCGTTATGTATCGTATCTTTATATATATATATATATATATATATATATATATATATATATATATATATATATATATATATATATATATATATATATATATATATATATATATATATATATATATATATATATATATATATATATATATATATATATATATATATATATATATATATATATATATATATATATATATATATATATATATATATATATATATATATATATATATATATATATATATATATATATATATATATATATATGTTGAACCACGAGTTTTGTGGAGAATGTTGTTATTTAAGTCGTAGTGCTATGAAAATGAATATTTGATATTTCCGCTGTGTAAATAGTTCTTTTATGAGAAATGAAGTAATAAAATGATTTTAAATTTTATGGAAGATGTGACATCCTATTTGTGTACTCTGATATATTTTCATATATTTTATTATAATTATATAATTGGGAAAGTGGGGTGTTATAATTGGTATAGAGCAGGTCAGTCCGTCTGGCCAGATTATTGAGTCTTTAGAGTGTGACAGTTGGATACTGTCGACGTGTTATTCCTTAGTGCGCGATGTGTGTTTGAAACAGTGCCAGTGCCTTCTTGTTTTTTTAATCACTTTTTTGTAGGAGATGGATTGAAACAAGTGGGGGGGAATTTGTTGCTTCTCGGAGACGATTTAGTTGCAAGAGGCGTGAACTGTTGGTTCGGTATGCCATAGATTTCAAAAGTTCAGGTGTTGGTAGGACTGTGTGGTCTTCCGATTCCGAAGAGAATATGGATTCAAGATTCGTGCATAACGGTCAGGTTGTAGTGTCCTTGAGAGGGAGTGATCAGGTGATTGTGTTGTTCGCATCTCTAGGGGTAGAGAGCGATGTTATGGCAAATGATGTGCCATTTGTGTGGGCCCTGATGCTTTCCCGAGGATGATTGTGACTTGTCGTTATAGCAATATGTTTGATTGACATGAGTAGGTATTTAAAGGTGAATAATTTGGAGTGGAACCGAGTGCTTTAGAATTATGTTGTTGAGTCGATGCAGACTCTTATGTTTGATGGATGTTATGAATTCAAGGTCCCAGTGTGTTGGACGATTGAGGCATCTCTGAGAGAAGACGATCAAGTATTATTGGTGGTTTCTTCTTAGGGAATAGAGAGCAATGTGATAACTTGTGACATACCAGTGGTGTGTACCTTTTGAATGTTTTGGAGATATCTACTAAGCAAGTAGAATAACTTCTAGGAGATGAGAATATTTGGAGAACAACTTTTAGAACTTTGTGTAGGCATTGTGAATTTTTGGATCAGTTATTGAGGTGCTTATTGTGGATATTCTGATTTATTCCAAGTCAGAATAAGAGCAGGTGGAACAATTAAGAATTGTATTGCGACCATTGAAGGAGGAGAAACTGTATACTAAGTGGTCAAGGTGTGAATGTTGATTTAAGGAGGTGAGTTCCTTAGGCGTATTGTTTCAGGTAAGGATAATTGTGGATCCATCCAAAGTAGATGCGGTTATACATTGAGAGTTTTTGAAGTTAGATAGGGAGATTAGAAGTTCTTTGAGCTTAGTTGGTTACTATTGCATTTTGCGAAGCAAGT